AAAAATAACTTTTCAATGTAAAAATAGTAACATTATATTTTGAAGTTTATAATTTATGTGGAAACATAATATTTAGCAGTAATAACATATAGGAAGGATTGTAGGTAAATGTGATCATGGATCCTCTGGATTTACAATGGGATTATATCCCAACAAGCCCATTATAAATTGAAAATACAGTAAGTTCAAAGTGCATCTAATATACCCAACCTACCCAACATCATAGCTTAGCTTAGCCCACCTTAATTGTGCTCAGAATACTCATTAACTTACAGTTGGGTAAAATCATATAATGCAAATCTGACTTTTAAAAAAGGTGTTGAGTATCTCATGTAATTAGTTGACTACTGTGCTGAAGTGAAATCACCTATAATTCAGTTGTTGTACAGCTACACTTTGCACAATCAGAAATGACAAACTTTAAACCAAACTATCCTAGGTCATAGACTGTGTGTGTGCTATTGTAAGGATCCCAAATTATGTGTGAATGTTGTATTATTTGAAGATAATATATGGCAAGTTATGGATGCATGTTGTGATCTGTAATTATTAAAACAAAAAGTATAAAAAGGTATAATAAAAAAACTAATAAATAAACTAGTATACTAAAAAAATACTTAATTAACTAGCAACAGGAAAGAGGAACAACAGAAAGGAGAACAGAGGAAAACGGGTAGAAAGCAAGTAGCAGAATTGAAACAAACACAAATTTTATTAAACAAAAAGTCTAAATACACCAGGCATGGTGGTGCACTCCTGTAATCCCAGTGGCTTTGGAGGCTGAGGCAGGAAGATCTTGAGTTCAAAGCCAGCCTCAGTAAAAGTGAGGCATGAAGCAACTCAGTGAGACCCTGTCTCTAAATAAAATACAAAATAGGCCTGGGGATGTGGCTCAATGGTAGAGTGCCCCGAGTTCAGTTCCAGTACTGCACCCCCCCCAATCTAAACACTCCAATTAGAATGCAGGGTTCGTCAGACTGAATGACAAAACAAAGACAGAGTAACACTGTTTATAAGAGATGCAATTTTTAAAATATTTTAAAAACTTTTTTAGTTATAGGTGGTATTTTATTTATTTTATATGTTATACTGAGGATGGAACCCAGTGCCTCACATGTGTTAGGCAAGCATTCAATTGCTGAGCCACAACCCCAGCCCCAAGAGATGTACTTTAAATACAAGCACTTGGATAGGCTAAAGATAAAAGAGTAGAAATGGGTGTTTACACAAATGCCAAACATAAGAAACCTGATGTGGCTGTACCAATATTTGGCAAAGTAGATTTTTAAGACCAAAAGCTAAAGACAATAATGGGTTGAATGGTGTAGAAGAATTTATGGACTGAATTGTTTTCCTGAAGAACTCTTATGTTGAAGTCCTAACCACCTCTGTGACTGTATTTGGAGACAGTGATTTTAAGAAGG